GATCTGTAGTTGTATGTAACTATGTAAGGTCTATGTTTTGTTGTTTATGATTTTGTGTCTGTATCAGAACATGACATCCCGAGTTTTAATATATAATGAAAATACATTTCTTTAATAAATGCTTTGATAAACCTTAATTTATCATGTATTGTTTTGGGGATAGATTCCGCAACCCTTTTAAATCAGTGGATTTACTCTGAAATTATTTTTAAAATTATAAATGAAACCGATCTTTTCTGGCTGTGAATTTGGGGATGTCACAGGTTGTATCAGAGCATTAGTTTAAGCGAACTAGCAATTTGTAGGATTTCTAGATTTAAACTTAGAATGCTAAGTGAAATTGTGAGATGTTTGTCTATTATATTTTACACACGAGCACTAGTTTATTTTAGGAAAGTTTCCTAAAATGCTTTTATGTGTTAAATGTTATATGTTTACCATATATGATATTATTTGTTCAGATCTACGGTTTATTGCCAACCAGATCTGAAAGCTTATGTGTTTAGGATTCTAAGCATATGACTACGGTATTAGAACTAGCATGTAAACGTTTCAGAGTGATAAGGATGATTTAAATCTTTATCGTGATTAAGGATCTAAATTCACCTTATTTGGTGTGTAGATCAAAAATGGTAAGAACCAGAAGTGGCATTGGAAATGCAGATGAAAATAGGAATCAACCACCAGTGATTGAGCAATCGCCTGTTGTAGCAGCAACACCTGAGCCAACGACGATGGTTGGTGTACAAAACATGATTCAACCAATGTTGGATCATCATATGGAAGAAACGAGATATCTGCTTAGGCAGAATCGTGAAGAACTACCAATTCAAGTTGAAGAGCCCGAAGTGAATGGAGGGCATTCGTAAGGAGGTAACTTCAGTGGGATCATTGGCCAAGCCAACCCACTGATTGTTAGACAAAATAACCACGATGGAGGAAATGATGAACTTGGATGCAAGTACAAAAACTTTTTGACTTGCAAACCATCGACCTTCACTTGGAAGGAGGATTCGATTAGAGTCATGGATTGGATCTTAGAAATGGAGCTAGCCTTCATGACATGTGGCTACAAGGGCAAGTTGCAGACCACTTTCGTAGTATGTCAGTTCAGGGGTAGAGTTGTTCGTTGGTAGAACACTCTGGGGAAGACCCTAAGCCCTAATGAGCCACTGCAACTGACCTAGGCAGAGTTCTTGGTGCAATTCAAGCGCAAGTTCTGCTCGGCCCAAAATCTACTAGAGTTTGAGAACAAGTTTCTGACATTGACAAAAGGAAGCATGTCAGTCGATGATTACACGAATTCCATTATAGACAAAATGGATTATGCTTTGCGCGTCATTCCAGACGAGTTGAAGAATGTTGATCGATATACAAAGGGGCTCCCATAGGAGTATGCGGTGCCAGTGCGTCAGTCACATACTCTAGAGGCAGCTATCTAGGCTGCCAAGTCTGTTGAGAACATAAGCATAAGGAGAAACGCTAGCAAAGTTGAAGTTAGTGAAAAGAGAAATTTTGAGGGAACTTCAGGTTCCTGTAAGAAAAGCAAATTTTCAAAGTCTGATTCGAACAAGTTTGGAGGAGGAAAGGGGGCAAATAGAAATGGTGTGAAAAGTGCAAGAAAAAGCACTCTGGGAAATGTATTGAAGAAGTGACTTGCTACAAGTGTGGGAAGACGGGGCATTACACCAACAAGTGTCTGTCCAACAAGAGAGTGTGTTTTGGATGTAACGAAGAGGGGCACATTTTGAAAGACTGTCCGAAGAAGAAGGAGGCATCTAGTCCCAATATTCCCCCAAAGCCGAAAGAAAGAGCCTTCCAGATGACACTGGAAGCTACTAAAGAAGAAGCAGATGTCGCTTCAAGTACTTTTCTCGTAAACAAATTGCCTGCCCAAATATTATTTGATTCTGGAACCAACTACTCCTTTATTTCGCATGAATTTGGTAGAAAACTAGATTTGCCCGTCGATAGACTAGATAATGCTTTATTAGTCGAGGTTGCTAGTAGCAAGTTTGTCCCTGTTAGCCATCTTAAGAAAAACATCTTCATCGATCTGAATGGGAATAAGTTCCGCAAGGAGTTATTGCCTATCGAGCTGAATGGTTTCGACATTGTGCTGAGAATGGATTGGCTTAGCACCAATGACGCGAGATATTATGCAAGAAGAAGATAGTAAAAGTAAACCCCCCAGGTAAAGAGTCATTTATGGTGTACGGGGACAAACGCAGAGTAAGATCTGGAATCATTTCACTAATGAAAGCCAAAAAGTGTTTGGCCAAAGGATGTACATCATATTTGGCATTTTTGATAGATTCAAAGAAGGAGAAAAAGGAGGTGTATAGCATTCCTGTGGTATGTGATTATCCAGAAGTATTTCCCAAAGATCTTCCCGTATTACTGCCTGATAGACGAGTGCAGTTCAGAATAGACTTGTTACCAGGAAGCACGCCGATAGCAAAAGCACCTTACAAACTAGCACCGACGGAGATGAAGGAGATGATGATGCAATTTCAGGAGTTGTTGGATAACGGTTTCATTAGACCTAGTTCATCACCCTCGGGAGCTCTGGTGTTATTCGTTAAAAAGAAAGATGGAAGTATGAGAATGTGCATCGATTACAGAGAGCTGAACAAGGCAACAATAAAGAATAGATATCCATTCCCAAGGATTGGTGACCTGTTTGATCAACTACAAGGTTCAAGTTATTTTTCAAAGATCGACATAAGGTTAGGATATCATTAGCTGAAGGTGAGAGAGCAGGATATCGAGAAGACTGCATTCAGAACACGATATGGACACTACGAGTTTTTGGTTATGTCATTTGGACTAACCAATGCTCCAGCAGCATTCATGGATTTAATGAACAAGGTTTGTAATCCGCTCCTTGATAAATTTGTGATAGTGTTCATAGATGACATTCTGATTTACTCGAAAAGCCAATAGGAGCATGACAGACACTTGCGAGAAGTGTTAGAAGTCTTGAATAGGGAAAAGTTGTATGCAAAGTTTTCCAAATGTGATTTTTGGATTCGAGAAGTCCAAATCATGGGTCACGTGGTCAACCAAGAAGGGATAATGGTTGATCCAGCAAAGATTAAAGTTGTGATGAAGTGGGAACAACCAAAAAGTCCCATGGAGATCCGAAGCTTTCTGGGATTAGCCGGATATTACCGAAGGTTTATCCAAGGATTTTCTTCGATCACTACTCCACTAAAATCTTTGACCCACAAAGGAGCTGCTTATACTTGGAGTGATAAGCACAAAGAAGCATTCGAGTTAATAAAGAAGAAGGTATGTGAGGCACCAATTCTTTCTCTACCCGATGGTGTTGAAGACTTCGTTGCCTATATCAATGTGTCTGGGGTTGGATGGGTTGTGTTTTGACCCAAAGAGAAAAGGTGATAGCATATGCGTCTCGACGGATGAAAGAGCATGAAAAGAACTACCTCACTCATGATTTGGAGTTGGCAGCGGTAGTTTTCGCTCTGAAGATATGGAGGCATTACCTCTGTGGCACGAATTGCAAACTTTTCACTGATCATAAGAGTGTCTAATATCTCTTTAGTCAGAGAGAATTGAATACGAGGCAGCAACGTTGGCTAGAACTACTTAAGGACTACAACTGTGAGATACTTTATCATCGTGGTAAAGCAAATGTTGTCGCTGATGCTCTCAGTCGGAAAGTCAATCTTGAAAGAAAAAGGCCAAGAACGTTGAGAATAGAAGTTGTATCGACAATTATGGAGAGAATAAAGCAAGCTCAAGAGGAAGCTTTTGAAAAGAATGAACGGAAGGAGGAACATTTGGGCAAAACGTTGGTGTTTGGTACAAACGCTCATGGACTGAAGGTTTTCCAAGATCGTATTTAGGTACCTAAGTCAGTAGGAATAAGAGATCTTCTGATGGAAGAAGCTCACAAAACCATGTACTCAATTCATCCTGGCAGCACTAAAATGTATAGGGACCTGAAACCCAATTACTGGTGGCCGAAGATGAAGCTTGATATTGCAAAGTATGTGGTCGAGTGTGTGACCTGTGCAAGAGTCAAGGCCCAACATCAGAAACCATATGGGAGTTTAGAACCTTTCCCTATACCTATGGGTAAATGGGAAGACATAACTATAAATTTTGTCACTAAGCTTCCAGAACAAAGAACAGTCACGACATGATTTGGGGTCGTTGATCGCTTCACTAAGAGTGCACACTTCATAGCAGCCAGTGAGAAATGGTCTATGGATAAGCTTGCGAATTCTTACATGAAGGAAATTGTGAGGCTTCACGGCGTTCCATTAGCGATTGTGTCAGATCGTGATAGCTGTTTCACCTCGAGGTTTTGAAAAAGTCTACAAGAGGAATTGGGTACCAAGTTGTGTTTGAGTACAACTTACCATCCATAGAATGATGGTCAGAGCGAACGAATGATGCAAAGGCTTGAAGATATGCTGAGAGCATGTACCATGGAATTCCAAAGTAACTGGGATGAACACTACTAGAAAAACAGCCTTTTACGACGCTCATTGCGCGTCGTAAAAGGCTCAGACGACGCGCAAATGCGCGTCAAGGAAGGCCCTGTCATAAAGAGAGATGACGCGCTTTTGCGCGTCGTCTATAGACGACGCGCATTTACGACGCTCATTTACGACGCGCATTTACGACGCGTAATGCGTATCAAGGAAGACCCTGTCATAAAGGAAGACGACACGCATTCGCGTGTCATAACCTTACGACGCGCGTGTTAATGACACGCAATGCGTATCAAGAAAGCCCCTGTCAAGAAAGACCATGTCATAAATGAAGATGACACACATTTTTGCGTATCATAATCTTAAATGTTTAAAAAAAATATTATTTATAGATTTACTAATTTTCAAATTAAATAATACATTAAAAATCTCATAATACAAAATAAAATACCATAAATAACAAAGATAATTCATTTCACTAATATGTCAAATACAAATAATTATTCCAATAGTGAGTAAATGTTATAATAAAATGAACTCATTTATATACAATTGCATTATCTAGCTTACTATGTGCCAACAACTCTCTATGTGTTTACTTTTGCTTGAGTCTCGTTTCCTCCAAAGCTTCTAAATCACAAACCTTTTTAAACATAATAGAGACAGGATCCAATCCATGGGGTATTTTTGGAAAATAGTCTGAACATTCTTGACAAATCATCAACCTGCAAGTGAAGGGTAGAAAGGGAAGAAACAAATGTTCACAACCAGTAAGAAATCTAAACACTAGAAGTTTCATAGTGATTGTTGATTCCTATAAACTCAAATGTGAGATGAGAGGCTTGTTCACAACCAGTAAGAAATACTAAGTAGAAAGAAACAAATCAGCACCGTTTTCTGCTTCTGCTGCAAGCAGTAATATGGAGCGTGACCCACGACAGATGAGGCAGTCATCTCCTTGAAAGCTAAATACATATGTTCTCGCAAAACTAACATAAAAAAACAAACAATAATGAGAATAATTTGTGGCATTCATCACCTTTAGTATCCAGCCACAAATCAGGACCAATTCATCCATCAAACACACAATCAGCACTCAGCAAGCCCACTCCACTACCCTCTCCAACAGCAAGTCAAAGTAAGCATCATCCAAGTGTTAGTGCCAAAAAAAATCAAAACATTCATTAATTTTAACGTGTTGGGAGGAGAGCAATTAGGTAAAAGGATTGAGAAATTCGTACCCATGCTTATCTTAGCAAACTTGGTTTGGAACACCTGCACAATAAAATATAAATTATCAAAAGACTAAATGACTATCTTACCCTTACATTGAAAAGTCAAAGTGCCAATTTAATATGAAACATGGGTATGATTGTATAAAAAACGGACCTTGAAGCCAGTGTCACCTAGATTGAAGTAGAATCTCTCCTGGTATCCTGAAAAAAAAAAAAACAAGGGACTATTTATTTTAATTAAACTTACATAAAATATAAGAGATTCTTTATGCTGATTATATGTGTAGATAATTAGAAACTTAACTGAAAGCATTTTAAGTCCGGGGAGGGATAATATTGGGTCCATATGTAGGAAAAGTATCTGAAGTACATCACCTGAAATCGATCGACAACCACAACTCGAGCCTGGTCGTGATTATAGCTCAACTGCCACCTTCACACTCCCGTCAGAAGTTTGTTAATCAAATATGATCACTCTTGGACACGGGCATTAAACTTAATAAAGAATAAAATTTTGCTTTCCATTTGCTTTTCTTATTACGACATTATAATTTAAAAATCTTCTACATATCCTTTCTATTTGGATAAAATATGTTATAAATGGTATATATTTTTCAAAGAAAGCACATTGCTATCTGTTGCATTCATTTTTTTATCTCAAGAAATGTCTAGATTTTCATTAATTGGTAAACAAATTTAAGTTTTGTTCAGTTTTTACCTGATTGTACTTGGCTAAGCGCTCTCCACGAGAAGGAGAGCCTGCTTTGATTTGACAAGAGGCAAGACCAACCACCAGGTCAGCAATGAAAGAATCATCTATATCCCCACTTCTCTATGATATCACCACCATAACTTGGAACCATCATAACCGGTCAGCAGATTCATACACATTTGAGAGGTTAAAACATCTTAGAAAACTTCCTCAGGGCATTATGGTCACATAAATGCTATACATCATCTTCCTCAGGCAGTTTCACTGCTGTGTAAATACCTGCACCAGCTAGTGCGCCAAGGATGGGAGCTGTAAGGTAGATCCATATGCCTTTGTAGTTATTTGCAGCTATTGCTGGTCCCAAGGTTCTTGCTGAGTTCATTGATGCTCCTGTCAGTGGCCTATATCATTTCAACAAAGGGAAAAATGTGAACAAAGAGGTTACCCCTTTTTTTTTTTTTTTAAAAAAAAAAAAACTTCTATCAACATACCCAGTTATCAGAATATTAAGAAGGTTCAATTTATACGTACCCATCTATAAGAATATTAAGCATGACAGTTGCCCCCACAGCTATTCCCGCTAGCTCGCCAACCTGTGGTGAAATAAAAATCAGGTTACAGTTATTTGAATAATTGCAAAATTTGTCTATGTTCATGTATATGTAAAATTTCCATAGCCAATTTTATATTAATACTATAAAATAATAAATATAAATAAATAAATATATATATATATATATATATATATATATATATATATATATATACCCGTGAAGACCAGGGGTAGATGGGCGATATACACTTGTTAAGCCTAATTGTCTAGCAGCTGAAGCAGTGGTTTCGCTAATGCATGCAACAGAACCCTCCCATGTCTGTGGTTCAGGTAGAAAATCCACCGAAGCACTGTTGCATGATAAAGATTAACAGATTAGAGGTCATTTTTTTGGATTTATTTTTCAGGTTTTATGTTTTTTTGGTTGCATAAAGCAATAAAAATAGCAATGAAAGAAATGGTGTCTTCTTGAAGTCAAAGTCCATGAAAGCATGAGGAAGATATTTGTTGAATTTCGCAATATATTATAACAAAAAAGTTCGAGAACTTTATATCTAAGAATACAAATTATTGGAGTGTAATGGAGACTGAGAAAACCTCTAAATAAATAATCAGATAAGCTTCGGTTCGGTTAAGCTTTTTAAATTAGGTCATAAAACAAAGCATTGAACTAACCCCAAAAAAAACATGTGAAACTCCTTCAAAATTTACAAACAAAAAAATATTTATATTTATATTTAAAAACATGTGAAACTCCAAAAAAAAAAAAAACAGGTGGCATAATTAATAGAAAATGATCTTACTTTAATTGGATGCACGGCTATTGAAGACAAACTTCAAGAAGGGTAAGAAAGAAGCTGCAGCAACACCTCAACCCCTGCTGCAACAACATTTCCATTAACCCAAGGACAGAAGAAATTATGATGCTTAATTGGATCAAACTCCACTACTTCTTCAAAGTTGCTTTCCCCATTTGGAGGCCCTAAATACCAAAATATATAAATAAAATAAAAAAGATTAAATGTTCAATCATTTTTAATAGAAAAAAGGACTCTAACCTAGCCCATTTGCAGGAGGCTCACATGGTTATACATTCATGCTCTTTATGTTACATTTTCATAATCTCAGGTTCGTGAAATGGCAATGGTTTCTGCTGTTCAGGAAGCCCAGAAAGATAATCTCAGAAACTTTAGTGACTACATGATGACAGTGTTAGAGGTTAGTTTCTACACAAAGTCAAAGTTACACTTCAATTCTGTATTCTGATATCTACTAAATTACCCTTTTACCGCCTGTTTAATACTAAATTACCTATTTTTTTTCTATCTGTCAGGATGACTGGCAAAAGGAAAAAAGGGACTTTCTTCACAGCTTGAGCCGCATCTCCAGTTTAGCAAGGACCAATGTAACTGATTCAAGCATTGGGGCTAACCGATCAGGGCCAATATTATCTCTATTTTCTAGTCCTCACATTTCATCTGGTCCTTCTAACATGGAGCTTTTGGCAATAGTTGATAAAAAGGCTGCAACATATGTCCAGGTTGTGAGAAAACTCAATGATGCAAGAAAACGTAGTTTAGAATATAAAGTAAGTCCATCAACTTATCATACTTTTGTTACTCGATTTATTTATTAATGTGTATTTTGTTCCATTTTTCAGTCAGCTACTGCTTTTAAGAATGCATATGATCACAATCTTGGCCTGGATTCTTCTAGTGGTAACTCAGTTACCATGAACAAGATCTGGCATCTAATTCAGGTACACATTGTTTTCATATGTAGAAGATTGCTCTTTCAAGCATTTTTCGATCACTTGGAGTGCATATATGCTCTCTTTTTTCTGACCCATTTACTTTAATTGTACATTTATAACCATCGAAAACAAATGCCAAAATCACATACTTTAAGCATCGATTCATTGTAAAATATAAAATAAAACATCAAACTGAGGTTCAACAAAATAACATTAAGAGAGGGGTAGAGATTTTCGAGATGATCTACAGGGGATGAAGAAATAAAGTTCTTCTGTTCAAAAATAAAACCAAACAGATTCATCACTCTCAACATTTTAAAGACAAACATCAAGTAGTTAAACACAAATTTTAAACTGAAATTTAATCAATATAATGAAAAATCAGAAAAAACATACTCACAGTAGTAGTCGTGGCGGCCGTAGTTGTCGACTCCGCCATCATAAACTTTTTTGTTGAAGAAATAGGAGATGGTAGAAGCGTCCTTTTCATAGCATAGTAACACCTCCCATTCCTGGGAGAAATAGGAGATCGTAGTTGTCGGCCGTAGTTAAACACAATTTTTGTTGAAGAAAGGAAACTTCAATTAAACGAACAACTTTACCATATTTGGGAGAAAAAATCGGGAATGGGTTACTATTAACGAACCTTAGAGAGTTTATCGCCACCAAGATGATGCAGATGCACGAAAAAAACCAGAATCCTTTTTTCTTGATTGAGAAGATGAAGTTGAGGGATGAATGAGAAGTCGTGTTCCCCTAATTTGCTGAATGGATGAAGAAATAGGACCAAGGCTAGAAGCGCAACTAGACTAGGGTTTGTAAACGTGGGGAGTCATTGTAGATGGAGTAGGGTAGAGGTGAAGAGGAGTGAGCGGGGTACTTCAAAATTTTGGGGGATTTTCCATGTTTCTAGTGGTGGCGGCTGCTAGGTTTTACAGAGAGTAGCAGGGGAGAAAATGAAAGAAGATATTACTATTTCAAATGTGTTATGTTTGATTAGGGTTTGCACATAGAAGGAAGTGAAAGTCGATCGGAGAAGAAGGGGTTTGCAGAGAGAAAGAAGGGAGAGAATGAAGTCGATTTGGCGGGTGTAGAGAGAAGAGAGGAAGAGGAAGCGGGTGTTCAAAATTTTGGGGGATTTAGTTTCCCCCTGAGTCCCAGAAACGCGCGTTTATTAAAATTATAAAGCGACATTTGTAGAGGACGCCCTTTTTATTATAGGTGCCCTCCGTGTTTTTAATATTTTTACATGAGACACTAATTTAAGGGCACTCAGTAATGCGCGACCTAAATTCTTAAAATTTTTGAAGAGATGACACTTTTTTGATGTCGCTCTCTAATGCGTAACATAAATCAAAGAGCGTCGTGTTTTGCGCGTCATAAAAGGCCTTTTTTCTAGTAGTGGAACATTTACCTTTGGTAGAACTCTCCTACAATAATAGTTTCCACTCGAGCATAAAGGTAGCACCTTATCAAGCTATGTACGGACAAAAATGTTGTACGCCGTCTTGTTGGCTTGAGGCTGGGGAAAAGCAGTTTATGGGACTCGAGATAGTCCATCAAACTACTGAAAAGTTGAAAATATTTAAGGAGAGAATGTTAGCAGCTCAGGATCGTCAAAAGAACTATGCTGACAAGAAAAGATGACTGATTACTTTTGAAGTTGGAGATTCGGTTTTGCTTAAAGTCTCACTGTGGAAGAGACTTATAAGATTTGGTAAAAGGGGAAAGTTAAGTCCAAGGTTTATTGGACCGTTGAAAATTCTTCAGAGGATTGGGAACCTAGCTTACAAGCTAGAATTACCCGAAGAACTAAATGGAATTCATAACACTTTCTATGTGTGTTATTTGAAGAAGTTCACTGGAGAAGTTCCCGACATGATTCCACTTTCGGAATTAAGAATTGATAAAAACAAAACGTTAATTAAAGAACCAGAGGCAATCGTTGACCGTAAGACTAAGAAGTTGTGACGCAAGATGGTCGAATTAGTCCTTGTCCGTTGGAAACATACGAATGAGCCAAATCTCACCTGGGAGACGGAGAATGACATATCCACATTTATTTGTTGATGCGTGACTCGGGGGATGGAATCATCCTAAGGGGAGAGAGAATTGTAATGCCCGTGTTTCTAGGCTAGGCATTAATATTGATGTAATAGTCTAGGTTAACCTTTGTAACTCATTTTGAAGTAATAGAAATGTATTATTTGAGTATTATGTGTTTATTACTTAATTGTGTGGCTTAAATGAATTAAGAATAAAAATAAGCGTAAAAATAAAATGTTAGATAAAACCAATATCGATACATGAAGACATAGTGGCCGTGACAAGGATTCCGAATATATAAAGAATGCCGAAATCCGAGTTATAATGAATAAGTTATGACTTGTCAAAGTTTTGTGACAAAACCAGTACGACAATGCGTGTCGTAAATAGTGAATTTACGATAGAGTGATATTTAGCCTTGGTGATCTACAAGAAAGTTGTAGAATACATTAAACCGAGAGCGTGCATAAAAAGAACGTCTAAATCTGACTTCGTATGAGGAAGTTATGATTTTTCGAAGTTTTGGCTTAGTGGTATGCAGCCCAAAGTTCGAATATGAAATCAAGTGATTTCTAGCCGAAACAGTCTACACGAGAATCGAAGATCTTTTCGATAGTAGTCTAACGGTAAAAAGACAGATGAAAACGGATGTCAGATAAAGAAGTTATGAATTACTAACGGAGTTTTCCTGTCCCAGCATACTAAAAATAATATAATAAAAATAAAGTCAAAACTAGCCGACGGAGTTTGAATGAAATGTTTAGAGCATAATCTCACCTACGCGTGGATATAAAGAACGTCGAAAACGGAGCTTGTATGCAAAATATATGAATTTTTGAAGTTTGTGGCACGAACCCTAACCCTGTGTCAGGGTTCATGACGTGAACAGTGGGTTCACGACATGAACTCAGTGATTTGACCTTTCAGAGCCTGGCAGACCGAAGTTGCAATGACGAACGCCATGACATCCAAGGCCATGACATGAAATGCCTGTTCACATCCAAGGCCATGGTTGCTAATTCCTTCACTCTCTCACTCCTAATGCCCTCTCTATCCCTCTTAAATCACCCCCGTAGCCCCGGTACCATCCTGAGACCCAAAGCGAGTCCCGAAGCACCGAAGATCCCGAGAAGAAAAGAGTTTCGAGCCGAAGCTCTGCACGCGAGAAGCCCGGTATGTGAAGATATCACAGTTTCACCAAAGAATACTACACTTAGATCCGTAGTGCTATCCGATAAACATCTTATCAAGTAAGTGTATAGTCCCTTTCATATACACGATGTTAATACAATTATTGATGAATGTATTAGATATATGATATGAGTAAGTGTGTAGTTGCTTTCTGAAAATACACATATATGAATTATACTCTATGAAATACATCCTATGTGATTATATACTATTTGTTATGTGGTATGAGTATTGAATGAATATGTTATATAAGTTTTAAGTTGTATATAAACAAGTATATTTTATCTACAAACATGTTGGGTAGAACATGGGTAAATAGTGATGTGTGATGAAATAAAAATGATGAGAGGCCTCGATGTGAT